AGCCAACTGAATGCGGCCCGGATGAGCCCTCGATGCAGAACTTTGGTCCGAGCAGCTAACCGTAGGGTGAAGTCGCTGGCCATTACAGACAATGACAATTATAAAGATACTCAGAAAAAGGTTAACCGTTTATTCCTCGCATCCGAGCCAAGCATGCGAAAATTGAGAAAAATTGGCCAGTACTTCTCAGACTTTCCGATGACCAACATTCCTCTCAGCAAGTGGAACTGTCTGATGATGGGCAATGAAATTGAGCACAGTGTGCCATATATCAAGCTGATTGTCAACAGCTTCTCTGCGGTCACTGCTCTAAAGTTTATTGCTCTCTGCAACAATGCAGTTCTGCTGAAGTTCTGCGTGAAGCTGTTGCAGCAGCCCCAATGGGCCAATCAACTGTCCCAGCTGATGGTTGGCAATTACCAAAGACAGTTGATTCCTACTGAGCTGGGCTGCCCACTGATCACCGCCATCAACAGACTTTCCGCTCTCCAGTGTCTGTCCATTTCTTGGCCCGGTGAAAAACTGCCTGATCTGACCATACTTAATCAGCTGAAAGCCATTCATCTCCGTTGCTTGCGTCTTAGTGAACTCTCCTTTTTGAACTCACTCGAACATTTCGCACCGGGAAATGTCGGTCTGCAGGTGTACTTTCATCCGCTTAGCACAAAGGCTCTNCCGGTGAAAAACTGCCTGATCTGACCATACTTAATCAGCTGAAAGCCATTGAGCTCCGTTGCTTGCGTCTTAGTGGACTCTCCTTGGTGAGCTCACTCGAACGTTTCGCACCGGGAAATGTCGGTCTGCAGGTGTACTTCCACTCGCTTAGCACAAAGGCTCTGCTCGGCCTCAGCCCGCCTCTTCGCCGGTGTATTGTCTACTATGGATTGACCAGCCTTCCATTTGACTACACTTATGACCAGGTTCCTCTTCTCTGTCAGCAGTTTCCTTCACTCACCTCACTGGCTGTCAAGTGCCCTGAGCCAACTCAGGTTCGACCACTGTTCACCGCCCTCTCCCATCTTCAGCAGCTGGTGCACTTGTATTTGAGCATAAAGTTGACTGGAACTCAAACCGAAGAGGAGCTGCGTCCGTTGGCACAGCTGACCTCTTTACGAGCACTCGACCTGAGCCTGAGCATCACCTCTCACTCGCAGGTGTCGTGGCTCAATCTCCAAAAGACACTGCCCCACTGTCAGACCATCCACATAATGGCATTTAACTGTGTTAGCTGTGATATCGGTCTCTATAACTACCTTTACGATGACGCAGACACGGTTGGAAGATCCAAAGCTCTTGAATGTCTGCGCGGCGCACTTCCAAAACTTCACAATGGTGTTTGCCGTAAACAGATCACTGTAAGCTTCGATGAGCCGTACCTTTCTCTGGATCAGATCATTGAGTGATAAGCAGCAGCAGTGGGCACCCTTTCTCTCTGTTCCCCAGCGTACTTTCTTCCTGAATAAACCCTGCTGACAATAGCTACCAATAAAAATTAGCATTCTTTGTTCTTGTGTCCTAGATCATGTTGCTATGTACAGTGTGTGTGTGTGAGAGAGAAATGGAAGATACTTTGTGTACAGAGAGTTTTACAACCACCACCATCAAGTGGGCTGATAATGCCCCCGGGTGATGTGTTCGGGAGGGGCGTGAGGGCATGGGGATGGGAATGGAGTAGATAAAAAGTATAAAGTATAAACACTTCACAACAGAGGGGGCGGTGGTGGTGGTGGTGGTGTTAGTGAGTGGTAGTCATTTACAGCACGTGCACCGATAACAGATGAGGCGCCTAATTTGGGTGGTGATGATGCTGATCGAAGGCGGCGGCGGCGGCGGATGAAGACGATGAAGATAAACTAGTGCTACTGCTCGGCGGCGGCGGTGGAAGCTGCTGAGAAGCTTGTGACAGGGGCGGTTGTTGTTGTTGCTGCTGCCCCAGCAAAACTGAGGGGCTGTTTGAGGTGGCAATGGAGTAGGACTGGGGACGAATGAGCGAGGAGGAGGAGGAGGAGGTGGTGGAGTAGAGACGAGAGTCCTGCTGCTGTTGGACATTGTATTGTCGGTGGTGGTCGACGGGGGTGACTCGAATCTGGCCACTGGTGGCGGAGGTGACGACGGCGGGGGCTGAGGTAGGTAGGCGATTGTCACTGAGGCGGCGCATTGCTATTGCTGCCGAAGAGGGGTTCGCTCCGGGCGTCACTGTACAGGAGGGGGAGAGACACAAGAGAGAGATGTGGGCATTGGTAGAGCGAACAAGTGTGATAATTCTAATCATCTACATACTGTGACTAAGAGCACCGCCGGCAGTGGCCTTGCCGACACCGTGTGCAAAGGAGGAGGAGGTGGAGGAGGAATAGGATGAGGGAATGGATGAGGCAGAGGCAATGGAGGCGGAGGCGGGCAAGCGGATGCTGCCACAGGCATTGTACAGCATCGGCCCCAGGTAGCCGAATTCGGCCTTGAAGTCCTCCAGCGTCTCCAGCGGTGGCCTCATCGTTTGCTGAGAGGGAAGAAAAACGTTAGTTTTTGGATCATAACAAAATGTAAACAACACAACCACTGCCCTACCTTGATGGTGGCCGGCAGCGACCGCGTGATCAGCTGGCGAATGTGCTCCACCGAGATCTTGTCCTGGGCGTTGGCGGCCTGCTCGGCGAGGCGCAGCCGCTCGCCGATCGCCCGCAGCCGCCGCAGCAGAAAGGTCCGCTGCACCTCGAGGCCCATCTCGCAGAGGCAGGAGATGGCGCCGTACATCGAGGGGAGGACCGGGCGGTCCTTGTCCAGGGCGGAGGCGAGCAGCTGCGTGACGCGCACCTGGATGTTGTTGGTGTTGGTGTTGAAGTTGCGGCAGATCTGCGTGAGGAGGCGGGCGCCAAAGTCCCTCAGCGCCCAGTGGTTGTCCTGCTCCGGGCGGAGGCAGAGCTGCTTCGAGACGATGCAGGTGATGACGGTGGGAATCAGCTCGTGCAGGTACTTCTCCAGGTAGAGGTTGTGGTTGTCCAGCAGCGCCTTCACCATCCTCATTAGGTAGATCAGCAGGGCGAGGTTGTTCTGCACCACGTTCACCTTCACGCCCTCGGAGATGAAGGTGCAGAGGCGAGGCAGCATCTGGTGGAGGCCCGAGTCGTACATCAGGCTCTGCAGGGCCTCGGAGCGGCGCGTCTCGTCGGAGCCGACGCAGGCCTCGGTGATCTCCTTGTAGTAGAGCTGCTGCTCGACGGAGAGCTCGTGCGTGGCCAGTTGCTTCACCTTCACCACCTCCACCAGCGGCTTCGCCTTCTGCGAGATGAAGCGGTTTTGGGCGGCGCTGGCGAACGTTCCGCCGTTGTTGCGCAGCACCTGCGACGGGTCGATGCTCTCCAGGCGCTGGCGGTCCTTGGAAAGGGGCGGCGGGTTGTCCGGTATCGCCGGCTGGATGCCGTCAATGCTCAGCCAGTGGTTCTTCAGCGCCACCTCCTGGGGGACCTTGGCCAGGGTGGAGGCGTTCACCAGGTCGGAGAGTTCGATTTCGCGGTCCTCCTGGAAGAAGAGCTCCCGCCCGCCGCCGGAGGCGTACCGGAAGGGCAGCTGCTCGGGGTCGCAGAAGCCGAGCATTGGCGGGACGTTCTTGATCTTCAGGGCGTTCTCAATGTCGCGGAAGGTGAGCAGCGACCGGCGGCCGTGGCGGGTGAACTTGGCCGCGTCCGCCATCACCGCCTTCAGCTTCTTGGTGAGGTCGTCGGCAAGGGCGCGGGCGGCGTCGTCGGCCACATTGGGAATGCCGTTCGCCTCGGCGATCATCTTCACCGAATCGGCGCCGAAGTAGGGCAGCACGGCGGAGGGCAGGACGGCGTCCACGGCGAGGGTGACACCGCTGCCGCCGACGCCATTTCGAACTGCCGCCCCCTTATCACCGCCACCGGCCACTGCTGCTGCTGCTGCTGTTGTGGGCGTCGTTGATGAAGCAGAAGCTGCTGAAGAAGACAGAGTCGCCGATGAGGACAACTTTCCGGAGGGACCAGCAGCAGCAGCAGCAACGGCCACGCCACCGCCTCCTCCGCCGCCGTGACTCGCCGACATCTTCATCAGGTGAGGAAGAGGAAGGTGCACCAGTGATAACCGGAGATGATTGCTGAAAAAACAGGTGAATGTTGTTGTTTTCGATGATGATGATGATGATGAGGTAATGATGATGGTAGGTGAGATGCCTTTGCCGAAGTGAGAAAAACAACAAACTAAAAAGAGAGGGAAATCTCGGCGGCAGCGGCCAGAGGCAGCAGCAGCAGCAAAGGCAATGCTGACAGGCACACTAACTTGCTTTGCTTTGCCTGCTGCTTCAGCTGCACTTTCTGTTGCTGCTGCTGCCTCTTCAAGCCCACTGACTCAAGTGAGTCCAGGTGAGGCTGACTGGCGCCCCTCCTCTATCTGGTGAAGGATGAACCGGGACGCTCTTTTGCCTCACAGAGATCACTCTCCTGCGCCAGCCTGCGCGAGCCGGACGACCATTTTCACCCGCCCAGGTCGGCGGCGACTACTGCCACTCAGGCCGGCAGCGTCACTGCATCTCCGACCTGGCCACGACAGCCACAGCAGCAGCAGCACGTTTTATTTCACTGCGGCTACTTCCTTTTACATTGAGACCTTTTCCATCGAGACTCTCACCGAAGAGCACCGCCGCCACTTGTTTCAATCATGGGTAAGTCTTCATCCGCCGCGGAACTTCCACCTCCAGGCTGATGGTGGTCATCCAGATCCTCGGGCCTTTAACTCCTGGACCATCCTGGATCAGCAGCAATGCCAGCTAGGCTGCAGTGTTGTGTTGTGGCACGGCAGCCGAAGTTGAAGCGTCCACCAAAGACTGACCTTTTCTGGTTTTCCACTTCGACCAGGTATCTCCCGTAATCACTGGCATAAGCGAAGGGCCACCGGTGGCAAGCGTGCCCAGCCGCACAAGAAGAGGAAGTTCGAGCTCGGACGACCAGCCGCCAGCACCAAGGTGAGTAACTTTGCGTCGATGTTTACCACGGTTTTTTATCCTGGCCGGCCACGCCGGTCTCTTCACATGATGTTATTCATNGGCAAGCGTGCCCAGCCGCACAAGAAGAGGAAGTTCGAGCTCGGACGACCGGCCGCCAGCACCAAGGTGAGCAACGTTGCGTCGATGTTTACCACCGCTTTTTTCCGGGCCGGCCACGCCGGTCTCTTAACATGATGTTATTCATGCGTGTCATCTGGAATTACAACCTTGATGATAGCTACTTATCCATTCCTGAGCCCTCTTAACCGAAACACAAGGCAAAGTGTTGGCCAGCGTGTAAACAAGCTTTGCGTGCACACTTTACTCACAACGGAAACATTTTTTTTCTTTCCCGCACAGATCGGCCCCAAGCGTGTGCACCTCGTTCGCACACGTGGCGGAAACACCAAGCACCGTGCTCTGCGCCTGGAGAACGGAAACTTTGCCTGGGCCTCGGAGCGTAAGTCTTTTTGTTGTTCTAAAATGCGTTTTGAGATCAAATCCCTAATTCTTTCTTTTCTTATTCTTTGCAGACTGCACCCGCAAGTCCCGTATTGTCGATGTGGTGTACAACGCCTCCAACAACGAGCTGGTGCGAACCAAGACGCTGGTGAAGAACTGCATCGTCCTCATCGACGGCGCGCCCTTCCGAAGCTGGTACGAGAACCACTACGCCCTGCAACTCGGTCGCAAGAAGGGAGTCAAGCTGGTAAGTGTGTTTGTGTAGAATGATGAGGAGTAGCTTTAGCAACACTACCACTTTACCAGTGATGATATGTAAAACAATCACCATCTTTCGGCTGATCCGCTGTGATTAGAAAAGTTTAGTTCTGACCAAGTTCCTTAGAAAGTTATTAGATGGAAAGTCCGTTGAAGATTCGTTTCTAATTCTTTTTCTTTTTCTCCATTTTTCTATTGCACAGGCTGCCCCTGAACAGGAGGCCCTCGACAAGCTGAACAAGAAGGCCGAGGAGGCCAAGTACAAGCTCCGCCAGAAGGTGGCCAAGGTGGAGGCCGCCCTCGAAGAGCAGTTTTCCGCTGGACGAGTCCTCGGTAAGTGCACACACACAACCTTGGCTTGGCCAAGCACACTTCAGCACCTACCTTTTTAGCTTCCTCCTACTTATTCGATGATGAAAACAACCCACATTCTGTGATACGGCGTGTGTTTGCATTTTGCGAACGCTCTGCTTCCGTGATCATCAGTCATAGTTACCCTGAGAATAATCTAGTCGAGTGTGTCTGTGTACAGTGTGACCACCAGTTCACCGGTGATCTGATTAAGAATCGCCTTATTCTATTATTTGTTCTGTTGCTAATTCTGGAACCTTTTCTCTTCCTTTTTCTTTCCTTCCCAAAACAGCCTGCCTCTCCTCCCGACCCGGCCAGGTGGGACGCGCCGACGGCTACATTCTGGAGGGCAAGGAGCTCGAGTTCTACCTGCGTAAGATCAAGGCCAAGAAGGGCAAATAAACACACAATAAACACAGAGGACGGTGATGTCAACCAGCCATCTTTTATATAACACCACCACCACCTAAAAATAAACACCAACTTCCTTGTGAACTCTTCTTCCTCCCCTCCTTCCTTCCTTCCTTCAAACTCAGTTGTGATCCCCTGGCTCTTCAAGTGCACATCACTATCACCACCTCCACCACGTTTTTTCCATTTCAGACATTTCTGGCGATCCTTCCTGACGAGATGGCGAGATGAGATGATCAGTGATGAGATTTTGCACTTGATTGCCTGTGTGTGCGTGTCCTCTTCACTCCCTATAGTCCGCTCTAAATGATGATTCGAACTCTCTCTTAGATGCTCTCGTGCACACCTCTTGCCAGGTGTGCCGCCGGCATATGACCCACACGTCTGTAAACTCTGATAGACGGACTGATGAGGAGGACCACAAGCACACACCTCAACACTTTCACTGATCATTCTCTCTCTGCCTCTCGACCCATCAAGAACATGTTGTTTGTGTAGATCGGCCAATGTGGTTTTGCGGTGGTTGGTGGTGGATGTGGTGATTGCTGCTGAGCCGCCTCTCCTCGGATCACAACTCGAGTCTTCTCTGTTAAACTTGTTCCGAAACGATGTCTCCAATCTTGTTTTGAGCAGTCCATAGCGTTCGTAATAAGTTTAACGGACTGGATTTCGGGCTTTTTACTCGCCGTCGTTCTCGTTCTGTTGTGGTCTTTGCTGTTGTTGTTGTTCATGTTTGTTGGTCTCTTCGCAATCGTCCTTTGGTGAATGCTGCTGCTGATGGGTCATCCAATTTCTATTTCTACTTCAGGTAAGCTTTAATTGTCCACGACTGTCCAAATTAGTGCTGAGAGAGCTAGAGTTTGTGTCTGGCCGACGACGAAGTTGGTGATGATAACTCTGTTTTATTGGTTCATTATGAGTCCCATGATTCCATATTTCCCACAGCGTTCTGATTCTTCTTCGTCTCCAGACAACACACTCAATTTCTCTAGCACAGCTTTTTTGGACAGCCAATCTCAGTTCATCCATTTCTTTATTTCTAATTCACCTCTTCTTCTTTTTTCCCTTTAGGTAAGTGCCGGCTGTTCTTTGCTGGCTCTTTTGTATCGCCTACCTTCTTCCTTTCCTTTCTTTGATTAAAATAAACAGTTTACTTTTTATTTACACCATTCTGAGTGATTGAACAGCGCTGAGTGTGTGTGTGTGTGTGAGCGCTTTGGAAAGAAGATTCCTTGTATGTGTATGATACAAAGGAAATTGTGTGTGTGTGTGTGCGTGAGTNGCGTCAACAGCAGCAGCAGATGACTGATGATTACTAGTGAACTAGAAGCTCTCTGTGGATGATTTCGTACATCATGCACCGGCGGAAGAAGGGAATGTCGTTCTGCAAAAGGAAGGAAAAGGAAAGAATTTTAGTCGTTTGTTGTTGTCACAACAGCTGCTGAGAATGTTACCTGGGTGAAGGTGATGGGCGCCCGGCGGGCAATGTACTCCGCGTACTTGCAGGCAAAGACGCCGCAGTCGTAGCCGTTGTTCTGCAGCGGAATGCCCGGCACTCGGTGAACTATAGTCCACTGACTGAGGTCCAGCTCCACCTTAGCGCCCTTCTCCCTGCTCTCCGCCTGCAGGAACTTGACGATGGCGTTGACGCAGGCCGGAAAGGGATTGCCCATCGAGTCGTAGTACTCGATCCGCTTCTCTCTAATCTTCACCACCTGAAATGGAAGAGGAGATTAGTGAAAGTTGTTGACAAATGTTGTTGAGCAAACGACTACTTACGACTAGGCGCCAGTGGGACGCGTGAATGATTGGCACAATGAGGAGATCATAGCTGAAGAAGTCCAACTTTCTCGCCCACCGGCCCAGCGCCTGGCCCTTCTCCAGGCGAGTGTAGAAGAAGGTGCCAAAGGTGTACACCGACGGGTACTTGGCCGGGTTCTTGGTGGACCGTTCCGTGATGAGGTTAAAGTAGAACTCCATCACCTGAAAGAGAGAGAGAGAGAGAGGTTCAAGGTTAGGGTCACAATTCAACAATGGTTCCCCTCTTTTTCGAATCCTTACCGAATCGTTGAGCCAACTCCTTCCATTCAGCGTCAGAATGTCCTTGACGAGAATGTTAATTGCAAAGGCCGTCGTCAGGTGCGTGCTGAGCGGACTCTGGAGAACGCTTCTGATCTCCATCTCCATCGCCTCCGTCCACACCGGCATGGACGGCTCCTCCTCCACCTCCTGCTTATCAGGTATCTCAACGTGTGCCTCATCAGATACCTGGTAATCCTGACGGAGGAAGGGAATAAACCTGCGCAGCTTGTTGATGTGTGCCTTCTCCACGAACCACTTCGTGAGCCGCGATCTAATACTTGAGTTTTCATTCTTCAGCGTTCTCAGCTGGGCAAGTTCCGTTTCGATTTTCATCTCCTGAAAGCTTTTGTTGTGATAGAGTTTCTCCACTACTGTTTCACGCTTGGCCGGCTGGTAGATGCTGTTGATGTTGGGCTCAATGGCCTCCTTGAAGAGCTTTGAGTTGCCGGGAATGTCCCACTTTTGAATCTGGTCAAGCCTTGAAGACACTTTGGGCATTGCTGCTGCAGGTGTGAATGCCGTTGTTGCTGCAGGTGTGAATGATTTTGCTGGTGGTGGTGGTAGTGGTGCCAGTGGCATTGGTCGCGGTGCCATTGTTGTTATTGTCGGCAGGAGAAACGGCTGATGAAAGGAGTTGATGCTCCGCACCAGAGGCCTAAACCGATTGTAGTCCAGCTCGAGCTTCATTCTCTTGTTGTACAAGGCACGCTCGTCATCACAGACCATCTTCCGCTTGTGTGCGAAGTTGTGGTAGTTGTGGCTGGTGGGGATGGTGGAGTCGCCCAGGAAAATTCGTGCTCCTAGAGGGAAAATAGAAATGAAAAAAGAAATGAGAACAAAGAACAAAAAAGAAGAGAAGTACAGTTACTCAAGCTTGTGTAAAACTGTCTGTCTGTTTGGCTGTGAGTCAACAGTCAAGATAACTGAACAAGGTGATGATCACCAGAAACCGCTCCCGGTTCTTGTTGCTCGAAAAGTTTAAGCTCATAACGATCCAGATCACCACCACCACAACTTCACACTTACCCATAGAGCTGACCATTGATAAGCCCATTAATCGGGGGGTGCTGGTCGTCGCCGATGATGATCGTCGTCGTCGTCGTCGGGAAGAAGTGTTTTTCAGGACGA